TGAGAAAAATAATTAATGAAGTGATTTCATTCATCAATGGAAAAAAGCTGTCAAAACCAACTTGGTCTTCTATTAAAATGTAATTGCCTCCCCATTTTAAATCATGAATTCACATTAGCTCCTGCAGGATCTTACATTTAATAAATTACATCTTGATCATACCCCGATCGTATATATGTCGATGTCGTACCCACTGTTATATTTTTGAACCATGTGCCTACCGTTGCTCTGGAAGGTGTAAAATAGCATGATGCAGGTCCTTTTAATACTAATAGTTTATTTTACACGTGTAGTTCCTTTACTGTTCCAGATAAGTACTGCTAGCTTATCCTCGTGTATAACATCTAAATAATATTAGTACTACCCAAATTTCTTTTAACGCATGGAAAACTAGAAGTCAAACCAAAAACAGACCAGTAGATTGTATCCATCCCAGTACTGGAAATGACTTTGCTGTAGACAGAGTCAAATACAAAACCAACATGGCAACAGATTCAAAAATATGCAAAAACCAAGAACATTCTGGTCTGTAGCTGGAAGGAGTTCCTGGACTGGTTCTCACAGCAGCCGTGCTGAAAGTAAGCTCTACCGTCTAACCAGTGTTTGATGATTGTTTCTTATGGTCAGCTAGGTCTCCACCTGTGGTTGAAACGAGTCCAGCCTGCAGCCAGTCACAGAGCCAGCCTACGTGATGCTCTGATTCTGGAGGTTTTACCCCGGGTTTCCACGGGAGCCGTCAGCAGCACGTTACTGCAGCAGCACGTCTTGCTCGCGTAAGCTGCTGCTTGGCCCTTCCCACGAGACGCGAAGCAGCAGGAGAGCAGCTGTCACCGACCGAGCACGAAGTCACACGAGTGACTTCGTCAGTAAACACAACAACAAGCAGGAGAAAACTACAACATGGTTTGTGTTTTATGTTCTGTCCGTTTTATAATCGCCAATACGGACCTGAAAAACAAAGGAGACCGCTAGCTAGGTGATAACTTCTCACGGGGACGCACAGTTAGTAACCTTTTTTAAAGTAAAGCAACCGGAAGGCAGTACGTTCTTTATTCTGAAAATCTCGGAGCTTCTCTCCATTTCCGCGTCCAATTTCCTGTCTTTCCTTCCCCAAAAATGTCGAACTTGACCCGTTTCAGAGGCGTCGCGCGTAGGAAATAGAACCGGCGCGTAAAGGCCGCGACATGCTGCTCCTGAGACGCGGCCGACTCGCGCTGCTGACGGCTGCCGACGGCTCCAGTGGAAAAGGTTCTGTTGACCACAGCGGTTCCTATCAGCAGCTATGACGTGCTGCTGCAGTAACGTGCTGCTGACGGCTGCTGTGGAAAGCCGGGGTTACGGTTCCATCCACCCATTCTGAACCGCTCATCTGAGGCTGGGTCACGGGGGCAGCAGCCTAAGCAGAAAGTCTCAGACTTCCCTCTCCTCAGCCACTTGGGCTAGCTCCTCCATGGGAATCTTAAAGCGTTCCCTGGCCAAGCAAGTAAAAAATTGTCTCTCCAACACGTCCTGGGTCCTAGTCTTCCTATGGACATCCTTCTGGTCAGATGTGCCCGGAAAACCTCACCAGGGAGGCGTCCAGGAGGCATCCCAACTAAATGCCCGAGCCACATGGGTCTTCTTGATGTGGAGATGCAGCGGATCTATTCTTAGCCCCTCCAGATAACCTGGAAAATATTTGGCTACTTTTTCAATTACCAACAACTCAACATTGCAGTAAAATGTATTTATCTACTTATTAAATTACTGTGAATGACTCATCTTTGCCTGTCATTTATAATCTTCTGTGTTACGTCCTCTATTGGTGGATATGGAGAAGGACGGGGAGTAACACAGAGGCATGTGCTTCAGGTGTGGAAATTGTAAACATTGATTTTATTAAAAGGATCTTAAAATGACAAAAAGCTCCAAATCTAA